TTTTCATTAATTTAATTATTAGTTATAATTATTATATTTGTTATTAGTTTTGGTTCATTAGATTACAACATTATTATCTAATACCGTTGAATCGCTCGACCTCCCGTAGCGCCTACAGCGCGCGGCGGCGGCGCTATTTTCGCACACGAATGATTGAAATAGATCACCACCGAAATATTATTTTTACTTATGCGCGTAATTTCCCTCATCCAACTTTATTTTACATTATGAAATGTAAAATAAAGATTTTGTGTGTGCTTTATGATATTAATTTCGAAATAGACGTAAGTTTCTTTCAACATTGTATTTTGTTCAGCGCAGGATACAGAATAAATCGAATGAATTCAATTTGATGGGAAAATCACTAGCATAAATGCCAAAACAACGACTACATGTTATGTGTTGTTTTTCGTTGCACTTATTTTCGTAGACCATAATTGAAATAACAGCAACCTGAACGTATATCATATTAAATTGTAAAATATTTATTATTTATCTATACATTATATACCCACGCATACATGGAAAATTATACAGAGCGTCTGATTCAGAACGGGGCGGCTCTATTTAAAATTTTTCAATGAAATTAATCTCCAGCCATACCTACGTTTCTTTGGTGCTGGTGATTAGTGAATGGCCATCGCACGAAGTTATGACTACCTCCCCGTGACTTTGTTTTTTATAATAATGCATCTTAATCCTACCTTGAAAATGTTTCTTGGAATGTTATTGTTCTTTATTGGAACTGGAGTTGGCTGTTTTTCGTTGTGTTTATAAACATTGTAACTATACTTCATAACGTAATTAATTAATTTATGTACCCAAAATTAAAAGTAGGTAAACCACTTACCTCCTTTTTTATGTTCTGCTAATCATATTTTATAAATTTATTTTGTAACAGACTTAGTTATTGTTATTTTAAGGCAATATACGTGACAGACGTAAGACCTAGCTACCCATAGGGCAGGGGATCCTATTTTGGGAGCTAAACACGTCTCTGTACTTATTATTGGGTCTTTTACAATAATGTTATTATTATTATCAATTTTTGACGACTCATATATGTATACGTGTACAAAGCATTAATTTCAACTTCAGAGAAAATGACCAAAAATTATACTGACGAGGAACAGTAGCATTACTCGTCAGTAGGTTAAGGGGTCCTGAATTTGGAACACTAATGTACCACATTATTTGTAGATTTACGGAAGATATAAGTTTACACGTTTAGTAGACTGGATATTATAATACTAGTATATGCAAAAAGATACGTATATTCAGGTTCAAATACAAAACGGAATCTACTAACCCATTTGTGTTTACAGCAAGTTTGTTGACCTCGTTAACCAACGACCTGTTTGTGGAACACAAAAGCTGCAATATGAGGTTGATGTACCTATTTAACTAGTATTTATTGTACCTACGTATGTATTCTACGCTGTTTTTCCTAGTTAACTTCAGTAGTGAAGGCGAAACGACAAATCGTTATTGCCATTAGATATGTTTGCCTCCTTGATATAATTTTGTTACTCACTGTTTACCCTTGACATTAATGTGGAAGTATTATCTTAATTCTCAAGTTCTTAGGTTCTCGTGATTGTTACACATAGCAAATGAAACTATTTTTTCTGATCTAAATCGGTCCAAATAAAAAACGGGTCCCATTGTCACGGCTGACGTGGTCCATGACACGTTAGTTTGTTTTAAAAACAGTATAGAGTACTAAAAAACCGATCTGAAAAGTCATTCATCCCCTAGTTTGCCACCCGTGAGATGGAATATTTTCTTTAAATTTAAATGGGACCACATTTAAATTTGAAGACTTAAAATTCTACATAAGAATTTTAAAAATATCGTGGACGGACAGTGTCCAATGAAAGAGTATTGCAGATGGTTAATAACAAATTAGAGGTCTTGAGTACTGCTAAAAAACGCAAACTACAGTACTTTGGTTATATAATGCGTAATGGTAAATACGACCTACTTCGACTAATTATGCAAGGAAAGATACAGGGAAAGCAACCACCTGGAAGAAGACGTACTTCGTGGCATAAAATTCTCCGGACATGGGTCGACCTGAGCACAAGATCCTTGTTATGATAGATACATATACCCTAATGATAGCCGACCTCCGGCAGGAGATGCCCAAAATCATCAATAAGAAATTAAGACAATGTAGGAAATGAAACTATTATTAAACTGTTATAGTTTGGAATAAAGTGGTTTTTATAGCACATGAATTTTTTTTATGAATACACTTTCACCAATCTTTGGAAGTGCCTAATTTATGCAAAAGTTTAGAAAGTCAGTTGGTATCGGGCGTAATAAATGAGTCGATAGCTCGTGTGAATTATACCTTGTTAGGTAATGATATGTTTGATTATTCTTGACTGTCAAGTTTTTGTCTCGTTCAGCTTTCTAATAATTGCTTGATTGAGTGCTACTTATGAGCAATTTTCTCTGAATGCTGTTTAGCGCTTGACTCTTTTATGAATTTTAAAAAGTGTACATAGGTACCGAAAATGTAGGTTGCAGATGTCAGAAAGTTCAATTCACAAAATTGTTGCTTATTACGGCCACGGTAAATAAAAACCGCGAGTCATGGTTTAATTGAGGTTTATCTTTATTGGTTCAATGAGATAAGAATCGCAATTCGAATCTCACAAAGATCTTGCAAATCGGCGTGTCGTACGACTTTGACCTTATTTTTTGTCTTTCATTCTGTAAATTCGTATTTAGGTATATTTCTCAGGTGAAATACAACGTAGTCAATTTTAAATGAAAACTAAGAACAATCATAGGTGTGTAGTTATTTAACTTGGTAAATTAGTGTGTTGCAAAATAGTGCACAATAAGTACTCGAATAACAAAGGAATTCTCTGTTGTAAGAATTTCCCAGTGGCCGACTTGTGAAACATGGTCAGCTTAGCACTCGAAGGCGAATGCGCTAGGGCACTGCGGCCAGTTACCAGACCGGTCTCTCGTGCATGCAACTGAAGACACATTATCTGCATGTCCTTATTAAGAATCGAAACAATTTACTTCATATAAACAATAGTTTCTTAACAATAACAATTTCAACAACCTTGAAAACTCTAAAGCTTCTCAAAACAAAGTAATTAGAGTAGTGAATCCAGGAAACTGCACCTGTAAATGATGCTCTATTCTTATACGAGTATTATGCTCTGTATTTGCTTGTAGCGAGTAATGAAGAACATAAGTGCGTCGTATTCGACTACACCCTCAAATCCCATTCAGACTCTTCGTGTCTATAATTTCACCACACTTCCCAACATTAAGCTCATATTTAAGTATGATGTTAGTATTCATCATGTTAGTCTGCAAACCAGTCATTACAAGCATCGTTAGTCCATTTTAGTTTCATTTTATTCATAGAGAAATGTGCTACTTTCACTCGTGGAGTGACTAATCTTGAGCACTCTTAATGACAAAGGTTGCACAAAACATTGTCATCTTTACCGCCCACTACAACCACTGAACTTTTTGAGAATATTTTTGCTGTTAGTTCTGTGTTCTTTGTGACTACGAGTCTCAGGAGGCCGTCCAGGTTCATTTACTTTTAAATGTAAGCTTTGTAGATTATAGTAGTGTTTGCTATAAGTAACATTATATTTATTTAAATGCTACAACTGCAGGTGACTAATTTGAGATCTGATTAATATGCCAAATTTAAGTAATAAGCGTTGCGCGCTTTATCGTTCTTCGTGCGTACTGTAAAGGGAATGAAGCTCGCTTCTGGTATATAGTTATTCCGTGTGTATATAAATCCCAACATCTTCAAGGGTAGGATAGATACAGGCGTCTCCTAGGTAAGCTTACTGTATCCACCATTTGATTTCAATGAACGGTGAAGAATTTATGAAAATCAACTTAAAAATGTAGTTCCTAAAGTGTTGGAGAGATGACATCATGGTATAAGATTATCATATCAGCTGTTGATTCAAAGTGAGTGTATCGCAACCGGTCTATTGAAGGTCGATATTGTTCGATCACAAGACAGGATGACTGCATGTAGGCATATACATACATACATACATAAGTGTGAGTGCATTTCCAAGGTATCTATATAATTATTTGAGAATTCAACATGAAATGCTTTCGAATCGTTAAAATCTCGCTACATATGGTCATAATATTTACAGAGTAATTATTGCATAAAGTAGGACATCTTAATCTAACTGTTATTGATTGCATCAGCTTTGTGAATATGTATTAACGTTTTTATAGTTACGAGGTATGTTGCACTTATTTAAATTTTGAAACTTGTAAGCAGAAATTTGCTTAATTCGAAAAACTATATTTAATTTGAAAATTAGTTTTTTTTTTATTATTTTAGAATTGATTTTTTTTAAGTACCTAACAGTAGTTACACAAGTATCGTGATGAATGTTGCCTGAGACGATTTGTAAATCGCAGGACCGATTATTTTTGGAATATGCTGGAGAAAGAGGCGATTAGGGTTGCAATTGCCAAGCATTTGATATACATATATTCCGGTAGGGTTTATAGTTCCTCATTCAATGGATGGATTGGAAGGTACGCCTCTTTGTGTACAGACACTTAGAAGAAAATAATACTGCCCGGAGGATTTAAACTTGCTATTGTCAGCGTTGTTGCTATTGTCAGATTGATAAGTCCCCGCCCGCCGCGCTTCGGTGGCCCCGCGTCGTCGGCGCGGCCACCAGTTCTCAGCGCCCCCTTGCGGACTGATTCATTATGTCGCGTTGTGTGTCAGTCGATGGAAAACGCACGCTCGGAACGTTAGTTAGTAATACTAGGTGCAGTGACCACCAAAACGTTACCGCTCTGCCTACACGCTTTGTCTCATCGTGCTTCGAGACATTTTAAGATAGTACTCATGTTTTATTGATTTTCGGTACGAGTTTCCACTAACTGTTGCTTTCCTCAAACAATGGAGTGATTTGTTATTATTATTTAAGGTAAATATCGAACAGAAGTGTCATTGAACAACATCAGTCATCCGTTTCGTGCATGTGTATTCGATTTAACGTGAAGTGTCACATTGTAATCGTGCAAAAACCAAGGCCCGAATTACAGTCATAGCTAACGTGATAAAATTGAAAATTATCCACAAGGGTGATATTATAAAATTGTTTAGTGAGTTGAAAATCGTCGTGATAAGTGTCGATAAGGGTGAATTCTCTAGATTGCTCAGTGAGGTGGAAAAACATCGTTATAGAATCCGTGGTTGGCACCTACTTTATATTCACCGGAAGAGCCAATGTTATTTTAAGGTTCGTATCGCACCTATTACACTGTAGGGTTGGAAGACTGGAAAATAAGCCTGAATCTAGGCGATACTGGCGTATTACGAAACAGGTGTTTCAATGTATAGTTACTACATGGAGGCAATGTCATATTATTATATTAGCATTTTAACATCCACTAGTCACACTTTGTATGTGTAGGTGGAAGCAATACCATAACTACAGCCAGTAGTATGAGTTTATGCATAAACAGGTATTCACGACCCAGAAGGTACCTACACTACCTAATTAAACACAATACAAGTGACTAAATCTTCACACCCTACACAGTTTTAATATCTTCAACTAAACAAGAATCTGACAAAATGCTTTAGTAAATTGTACATTATAAAAGATGACATTTGACATACTTATCATGTTCCTAATATATAACATAATTGTATTGTTTACTAAATACATAACA